GAATATAACACTTATACGTCGAGAGCAAATGATCTGGGGAGGTGTGGTAGCATAATGTTTAAGTCTGTTATTTTTTTTGCAGTGTTTTTGTTAATTATATAAAATATGTGAAACAGTACAAGAAAAAGTTTTCTAGTTAAACAAGCACTAGATCTTAGTAGATACGTGGTTATATTTTAGGCTGCAGCCAAAATTGTGGATATTCGTGACTGATAAATCGGCTGTGCCCATGTATCCTTTTCAGCCACTTGTACTGGATGTTTGTTCACACTTGTCGATTCCGAGATTATTTTGTCAGGCTACGGTCTAACAACATATATGGTGGTTCATGATGCAGATAAGTCGCTTTTAGCCTAGCAGTAATTACGGGGGCGGTGTTTCCTTTTTTCTATCACGAAATATTAAAGTTTCTTTGAGAAAACTTTAAAAGAACCTTCTAATGGAAGGCTAAGCGGTGCTTTTTCTTTGTCACACCTCATCCAAACGTCCGTGCAATTGCCTAGATCCTTAGGTACATATATGGCTCGCGATTGTTCTAGAGTATTAATTGGTTTGAATTTGGACATATGGTTCTGTATTCCGTCTCCGTGTTTTTCTAAAATCAAGCTTTTTGCTGTCAATATGAGGGTTAATAACTCACTCGGTAATCTCATGGTTGTCCCGAAAACTAGTTCCGCTGCCGAACACTGTGAGTCAGTTTTGATAGCTGTTAGAATCCCCAACATAACTAATGGAAGGAATTCTGTGCATTGATTGACGTTTGGGTGTGATGTAAGGGCAGCCTTTAGTTGACAGTGAAAACGTCCAACCATCCCATTAGTCTGAGGGTGATATGGACGACGAATTCTGTTGGGATCTAGAAGTTTAGCTAAGTTATTAAGTAGTTAAGATTCAAATTGTTCTCCGCTATCCGTCGTTATTGTTTCAGATGTACCAAAAAACGATCAACGGTTCTACATGAAAACCGTGACCACTGCTTCGGCTGCGATTTCCGTTATCGGTATGGCTATAGGGAATCTCGTGAGTCGATCTATACATGTAAACAGATAATTAAAGCCGTTCAAATGCGGCAAAGAGCCTACTAAGTTGATGTGAACATGGTTGAAATGTGCATCTGGTTGTGAGAGAACGCCGATGGGTGAACTTACATGATGACTGACTTTTGACTGTTGACACGCCGAACACTAACCCATTTGTGTACATTTCTTTGTAAATTTGGCCACATATATCTGGCATTGTTTAGTTTAGCCGAAGCTAGACAAAGAATGAAAATCATTAAATACTAAACGTTGCATAATTTTTGGGACGAAAGGTCTCGGCATTACCTTGGTCGTGTCACAGCAAATCAAAAAAACCGTCAATAGGTTACTGGTTGCTGCTTTAGTTTGAGATAAGAGTTGTTCGTTGTAATTAGGTTTTGTAATTTGTGATCCTCTTCTTGTTTGTTCCTCAACATCTCGGAATTTACTGTAGACCGTAGTGTCACGTTCATTTCTAGTTGAAATAACGCATCTGTCACCTGATTTCCTGACCTTTTACTCGTTGGATATCACTTGTGAACTGTGATATGTAGTCAAGGTATCGAACTTCTCTAGATGAGTATTTATCGGCTCTCGCTTTTAGTGAGTCGGTCACTGGTTTGTGATCCGTAAAACTTTGAAGTCCCTGCCTTCCAACATATGTCGGAAATGCTTAATGATTAGGTAGATTGCAAGAAGTTCTCGTCCGAAGGTAGAATATCTTACCTCTGTTGGAGCGAGTCTTTTTGGGAATAAACCACTTGGTTTCCAGGAGTTTATAACAAGTTGGTTAAGGATACCGCCTACTGCTTTCTCCAAAGCATCTACCATAAAAGCGAATGGGGAAAAGGGAATCCGGATACATCAACGTAGATGCTTGAGTCAGTCTGTACTTTAGCTGTTTGATAGCTTAACAGCTTCAGAAGTCAACTTGGATTCTTTTGATTTTTTTAAGTGAATCTGTCAAAGGTTGCATTAATTGTGCTAAACCGGGTATGAATCTGAGATAAAAGTTAACTAGACCTAGAAAACTTCTAACTTGTGTTAAAGAACTGGGTATGGGTTACTGTCTGATGGTATCCACTTTTTCTTTGATCGGTGAATTCTTTTTAAGCTTATTGTGTGCGCGAGAAATTTTAAGGTTTGGACACTGAAAACACACTTTGATGTATGTCCATTCCACTTTCATCTAAACGTTTTAACACTGTTCTTACATGATGTTCGTGTAATTGTGAATTGGAACTGGCAATTAACAAATCGTCTAAATACCGTCATGCAAATGGCATATCCCGAAGTAGGTTATCCGTGAATCTTTGAAGTGTTTGTGCTGTGTTCCTCAGGCTGAATGGCATGCGTATAAACTGGAACAATCCGAAAAGTGTGGTAATAAGTCTTAGGGATATCTTCCCCAATTACTGGGATATTGTGCTACGCCCTAACCAAGTCAGTTTTAGTAAATATGTTTGTACCATGTAAACCGTCTGTAAAATCTTGGGTGTGAAGTATTGAGTACCTGTCTGGTGCGGTTTGACAGTTAAAGGCTCTGTAATCCCCGCCAGTTGTCTTCATTTTTCCTTGGGACCATATGCAAAGGGAATGTCTATTGACTATCAGAGAGATTTATAATATCCATGTATTGTAGCATGTGGTCGAATTCAGCTCTAGCGATTTTTAAGCTTTTTTGGAGCCAGTCTCCTGAGTCTTGCAAACACAAGTGCACCTTTGGCTTTGATCGTATGACTTAGTTTGCGTTTGGAAGGCTGTGGGTTAGGTTTATTTAAGTGTGAAAATTCAGCGAGTATATCCTGGAATTTTGCTGTTGTTACTAGAGGAATTTGTATAAAATTGAGAGATTTGATGTGACTTTCACTGTCTTTTGTGTAATTCAAAGTTTTTTTCAGTGTCGAGTGTCGTTTTCTAGTGTCAAATAGAAATTCGTATCTCTCTAAAACGTTCATCCTCAGTATTGCCAGATCTACATTGGCTACAGTGAAAACCCAGAGGAATTTCTTCCTGAACCATAAATCTAGAGATAAAGATTTCTGGTCACATGTCGCGATTTTAGTTTTATTGGCAGCTTGAAGCGCAACTGGGGATGTTTCCCGACCCAGCTCAGTTTTTTTCCGAGGAATGATACTAAGAGTAGCGCCAGTGTCCACTAAGAAGTTCAAGCCAGAGTTTCTGTCTCTAACATAAAACAAACAACTGTTTACGCGCCCCTCCTCAGTTGTCGCGACCTGGATAGGAATTATTCGTTTCCCATATTCTTGGGGTTCCTTTTAGACCAGGCGCATGGTTGCCTGCATTGGTTGAGTTGACACCAAACCTACGGCGGTACTAACAGAACTATCCAGATTAGCTGAACACTTGTGACTGTTTTGTAACTTGGATTTCGGTCGTTGTTGTGACCTGCTCCTGTTTCTATGAGACATTTCGCATTCTGGAGACAGCCTTATTGTGACTTTTAACACTCTCAATGAGTCTTTTTATGAATGAGTCTTCTGATGGTTGGTTGTTCCTGCACCCACCATTGCCGACCCCCTCTGAGTGTTACATGCTGAGTTTCAATCTTCTCAGTATTTATATGTTCAACTTCGAGAATCGCTTGTTTATGAACCAATACCACTACAAATATTTCATCCATTCACGATCGAGTATAATCCTTACGGAAGCATCTAGAAAATCCTAAATCATGCGCCATGGTTTGGGTCGGATATCTATCTATGTTGTTGCTATATTTAGCAAGGTTTCAGAAATTTCCAGTAGCACACGTTTGTGTGTAACTTTAAAAATTCTCGTTTACCGGCATTCGAACAAACCTGGGATGAAGCACAATTATGCACTTGGCACGTTTTTTCTTGTTCCCGAGTTGCCATATTTATCTATGCTAGGCTATTAAAGCGTCTAAAAAGTTGAATCAAGTGATTATCAATTAAAAGACATATAAGTACGTGCAAAAGTGACGCTTTCTTCGTCTTCCATCTGTTTGTACAAATAGACTAGAAATGATCACCCCGTTTTTTTGAATTTAAATTTTCAGGAGCTAAATGGGCTTACTGGACTGACCGAAATTGAGATTGCGTGCCTGATCATAAATACTTTACTGACGTTTATGAATTCTTAAAAGTAACACGCAAGCTCCTTGAAATTTGTTACATTACACCAAGGATGAAAACTTATTTGGGACGCAAAGTGAAGACTTTTCAGTTTCGCATTACACAACAGGCTTCAGTGTGTAATATTCTGATGTCTAGCTAGTAATTATGCGCCATCAATTATAGACGTATCCTTATTTTCGTGTAACTCTTTTAGTTATACTTAATTTATTATCCAATTTATTATTGATTACTCAGCTTTTCTTGCGTTACTTCGACATTAGTCTTCATTTCCTAGAAAAACGTCTCCACCTGTTTAAAGATTTGCCCCCCCCCGTAGAATATGCAAACATTCATCTGATTACACATTTTTACATTTCTTTCAAGAATTCGTATTTTCACAGGTACGACATCAAATCAGTCGAGCGATCCCAAATATTTATTGCTGGTGTTTGCGGGTTGTACATGATTGTTGAGAACCTGCAACACAGTGAATTCATATCATTTCGCTTTTTGTTCCTAGTTTAGTTCGATCTCATGGCATCCACGTGCTTCGTTAAATTGGTTGTTGAATGATGATCAATAGTGTCTCATTCCGGTCAACGTCTTTGCGAAACTCAGATCTTCGGCATTTAACTTGTGCGCCTAATAGGTCCTTTATTTGTTTAAGAAAAACTTGAATACAGCCTGATGCGGATAGTTATGTGATCCCTCTGTTGTCCTCACTCTTATTAAGACCTTTTTTCTTCGGTATCTTGATGAAGCACCTTATTTCAGACTTTCGACATGTTAACAGTTAATTATATGTCTGACTTCAGTACCTAAGCTGGTGAAGCAGTTTCAAAGGCCAGAGTAACTGCCTAACCATGTGAAGTTGATAAGTTTAAGAAACTACATCTTAGATAGGAGACAACTCTTTCGCATGAAACACAAGTCTGAAGGATGTACCTTCTCGATACCTTGACTGTCAAACAGTTGAAAAATACTTCTTACAACGTGAATTGTGTTCTTTTGTTAATTTGACAAACTGCGCAACACTAAGGATATTCTGGAGCGCTTTTTGGTGTGCTTTCGATTGTACGGCTCTGTTTTCTCATGATGGTTTGTTTCTGAAATATGGTAAGTCAGTCTGACTATCTTCATACAAACGAATCTTAAATGACAAATTTCTTGGTTGTTGCTCCAATATATATAATGTTATGTCGAAATGAGTTGTGTTGCTTGGTTAGTGGGGATCACAAATGGATCAGCTGTTCTCATATGTCCGTTGCTATCTTGCCTCTGATAGTAATTTTCATATCAAATTAAGACAGATTTGCCAAACGCTTTTCAGATTGATGCTCTGGCCCTTTAACTACTGAATGATGCCATTCTTGAACAAGCTCGTACACTTTCATAAAACTTTTGTTTGAATATTGAGAAAGCATATTTACACAAGTCTTGATTTTTATTTATGGCAGCGTTTTAGTCCATGCTTTTATATCCGCCGTCTAGTTAGCCATCCAACGTCCTGCTGTTGGAACTTAAATATTTAGACCCTTAAAGGGTACTATAGCCATCCCATGTGTTTGTGGAAATGAACAATTGAAACCTACTTGGTCACCAGCAGTAATTGCCTTTTGCGTTTGTACTTTTTTGTGCATGAAACGTGCTTGAGCATTAAGACAAGGTATGATTATTCTTTTATTAGTTTTAAGTACTAGGATATCGTTTGGAGATATAGATCAAGTAACTATACTGATAGTACTAGTTAATTTTAACTTATTTTGTGATGCCCTACTTAGAGAAGGTACAAGACATCTAACGGAAAATTACTTCTGAACAGTGAGTAAAAACCATGTTTTAGTCCAACCAAACGACGAATTATTAATCATACCTTAGAGTGCTTATCAATAAAAATGGGTGGTTATCAACAAGATGTTTGTTGAATATTTACATTCGTATCAAGAATAGTTGAGGTCTATAAAAACAAATATTCTCTTTGGATATCTTGTAATATTGGTATATACCAGACACTGCTGTTAATGTCAGAGCATGTGATTATGGACGAAGGTAGACTTGATACACTCGTGTCAAGTTCATCTGGAAAAGGTTGGCGTTTTAGTCATCATAGAAATCTCAATCTAAGAAACCATACCTTGTCTTGGTCTTCAGGGACTGACCTATATTACCTGGAAGTTCACTGAATAACTTAGAATACTTATGATATAGTTCTGTTCGGTGAAGGTGCTGGTATAATGCAGAGTATTATAACCTTAAGTAACAGTGCAAGCATTTAAGGTGTTTCTTCATCTCAATGTAAAATTTTGGTTTCGGACTGATCTGAATAATAACATAGATTAATTGTTGGGAGTGAGGCAGTGTGGTGTACTGACCACTAAACTTGGAAGTCTCTTTGACCCTAGTAAGTTGGTGACTGAAGAAACATTCATACTACAGAAGGCTTAGTTGGCTTTTGGATATCTACATCACTTGTCGCGTAGGTGAGATGTTCGTCTGTCAATCATACGGCGAGTATACTGTGTGTCAGTTAGCTCTGTCTTACTGTATGACCGTGAAACATAGTTCCTGATAATAAAAGATGGATGGGCTGAAGATTTTTTGCCGTAAGTGTCTTCAAAACTCCCACTTTATCGTAAAACGATCGACTGAATAATGTTGAGTTTAGCCATAGAGTACTAGGCAAATATGGAAAATCAGTTGATGAGATTATAGATTTTCGACTGATGTATTTAAGACGTGGCACTCATGCTTGACCACTATCTACTTTTACGGGCAATTTTTACCTTTGTAGGAATAGGTCGGAAGAATTGTAGGGGAGGCTACAAGAAGGCGTAGCATCAGAACATGAAATCACTGACTTGTTGTGAATCATGTTGGTAGACGTTGACCACCTGGTTGGAGTCTGCACGATAACTGCGTCCTTTTTTTAGACGGGTATAATGTCTTGAAATTGGTAATAATGGCTCATTTGCATTCATTCATTTTACTCTAGATCTTGAGCTTTATTATTCCTTGCTACATATCTTTGTCTTCTCTAACCATGTTATCAATCGCTAGTCTCCCACATTATCTACTACTACAGTATTTCTATTTATAATTTTATGTCATCTTGCTGATGTATTTTGGTCTAACGCATATATGTGCCAAACACTACGTTGATTATGACCGACTATTATGTTTCCTAGAATACTTTACTCGTTTTAGTCAACTGCCGTAAGACGTTCACGTATTTGCATCGTTAACACAATCTAGTCTTTATTTATTTATTTATTTGAACACATGAATATTGGTACAAGAGAGCGCCAATATATATGCGCCACACAAAACAATGAGAATTCAAGAGAAGTAGAAAAAAAAAACTAAGGAGCGCAAAAGAAAAAGAGAACAATGACGAAGAGATTGAAGTAAGGTAGTGTGGTAGTAACGACGGAAAGAAAAGGTACAATCAGAAGAAATCTTTCAGGTAAAGGAGACACAATCACTTTTTATGAAGAAAGTAAAAGAAGGTTACAGCAGGATCGCCACTGGCTTCTATTTTGAGCCATATCTGATAACGTCTCTAGCCACTGAAACCACGTGCACCATTCAATCTAGTCTTTGATTGGTGGGATATTTGTCAATAATTGTCAACTAACTTTCCCATAGTGGTTTGAATCCACAAAATTTGTAATCACAAAACGGTACTCTTCAGCAGTACGTAAATCTATAATTTTTAATGTAGTTTGTCTTGTAGCTTCTGCGATCAATTAGTAATAACTTTAAACTGTTGATATAGCTAGATAAGCCGATCAATCAGTCTACCTGGACTCATTGTCGTATAGTCTCTCAGTACCTAACATGAATAAAAACAGCTCATGCAAAGTAGCGACATTCGCTTCAGGATGGTTTCCTAAGCCATTTGCTCAAAGTAATTAACGTTTGCTAATTAGATACTTGATAGTCATTGGGGAAAACGAATAGTACACCAGGTTAGTTTTACTTTTGCTGTTGAAACTGTTACTGTTTTTGGGAACAAGGAGTAGTTTCATAAAGTTCTTATGGAACTCACTTTTTGGTATTTGGTCCTGTTCATTCGCTTTCCAATTCTGTTTGCGATTTTAATTTAAGAACTAACAGTTCCGTGCTGCTTCCACACAATAACTAAAATAATTCTTATTTGGTAGCTACTCCGTTAATTCTGCGTGTCCTGTTCAATGTCAGGAAGCCTCATTAGTCAGCGTGAAGAGCAGCCAGTGTTGGTCCTTACCTGTCAGCGAGATTCACACCCTTTTCAGGACCGCATAATTATACTAAATGAGATAATAAAAGTTGGACGTTCAGTGGCCCGCGCCAAACCTACAAAAACCAATGCGATCTTCGACTGCAAAGTCTTGTCGAGAAGTCATGCATTGATATGGCACAAAGGTGATCGGGTATGTTTTCGAATACTTTTAATCTCATTTACAGTTTTGGTTACGTGATACAAATAGTAGCAATGGAACTTTTGTCAATAACACAAGAATAGTGAAAAAAAATGATGAAGATTTTGCCGACCGTGAGATATTTTCCGGTGATATCATTCGTTTTGGAGTAGACGTCGTTGAACATGATAGTAATTTATATTTCGTTGCTTATATTTATTTGACCTTAGCAACTCACGGCTGCATCATAGCTCAAGTTGCTTTGTATCATCCTAATGGAACAGAAGCAAAACAAAGGTAAATAAATTATTAGTTCTATTCGCTTAGTAGCGTTGATTATGTCAGTAGTAATAATGCTTTGACTGGTATCGAGGCACTCCATACTGAACAAATGTTCCGCTTCACACATTACATTAGCGTATGTTTATTTGTTTAGTCATTCACTACTGGTTTTCAGGAGGCTTTATTTCGGGAACAAGTTCTGGACACAAAACTTGAGTCTATCAAACGGCTCCTACAAGAGGCACAAGAAATTTCTGAGGCTGGTTGGCAAGTAAGTCTAAGCTTTCCGTCATTCTATCATTTAGGCTATGGTGGATGAAGATCGACTTTTGGAGAAGCTAAGTCTCTATGAAACTCAACTATCTTTATTGAAGCAAGTGAGTTGCCAGTTCACAACCATGTCTTTTAATATTAGTTTTGGATTTTGCATAAATACTTATATGCTTCGGATTTGTGATATTTTTGTTGTTTCAAGGATTTGCCCGAGAATTCGTTACAGTCGCATCTAATGCAGGCTCTAGAAGAAAAATTTAATCTTGAGAAAGCCAGTAAAATAATGTTGGAACGCCTGTTAAACGAGAAAGCGGAAGTTTTTAGCAAAGCTACAGATCTTGAGGTACGTTCATGTTATTTTAGTTATGTGTACATTTCAGTCGAACAAGCATTAAGAACTAATGACTAAACTTATTTTCCCTCGTTCTGAGACTTTGGAAGAACCCATCACTTTAGTTCTTTCCGAAGATCCATGAATTCTTCAATCACAGTGACCTTTGAAACACTAAACCTATATATAATGAGTTCTTCCTAAACGTCAAACCATAACTGTCGGACTCCGATAAGCATGCCTGTCCTAAGATTTGACGAATGGTGAGTATATTGTCGATGTAGCCACGACCAGTTCTAAAGCCAGCCTGATTTTCTCGTGTTTGCAGTTTACGAGTCTTTGTTAGGCGTCCGATAACTATTGAGGTTAGTATTTTAGATGCTATGTTGGTCAAACTAATCCCTCTATGGTTATCAGAGAATGATTTTGGCCTCTTTTTATATATTGGGACAATCAGTGATTGCGACCAGTCAGATGGGATTACGTCCAACTCCCAGATTTTAGCTAAAATATTAGTCAACCTAATCTCTCAAACTGGACCACCATTCTTAAAGTCCTCTGGAGCCAATCCATATGGACCAGCTGCTCTTCCTCGTTTCAGATTAGTTATAGCCTTTTGAACTTCAGCTAGAGTCGAGGGACCTACTTCAATGTTCCATTCAGGCTGTCTAGGAATGGTAGGTGGTTGTAAAGTAGCTGAAGGTCAGTTGAACTGTTCCTTAGAATGTTCCGCCCATCGTTCTAAACGTCTTGACTGGGAGCAGATAAGAGTGCCGTCGTTTTCTGAGATAGCCTCACTTACACTTGACTTATTAATACTAGTTTCTTTTTTTAGTCTGTAGAGCTGTACTGTGTTACCTACAACCGCTACCATTTCCATCTCTTTTGCTTTCGTTGCTGACCACTACTCGCGGTCGTTTTTATACCTGCCAGTCCACGAGGACTAGCTATCGGGTCGCCAAATAAACGGAGGGTGTATCTCGTCGGCTCCCCCTTGTGGCGAGTTAAGGTCAAGCGAACGACCATATTAGGATCCTGTATGCGTGTTTCGGAGACAGCATACATCAATGGTACGAGATTCACTGTTATGCTGGTTGTCTGAGGGGAACACCTTACTGCCGTCACAACTCTGTACAGTCGGCAGTACGACTTCGCCCTCGGACCTTGGGTTTGCTGCTCTTCAACCGACCTGTCTTGCATAGTAGGACCTTGAGGAATGATTGTCCCGACCAGCATAGCTCGATTGGTTCATCACGATAGGCAAGCCTGATCACCACGTTAAGGTAGCAGCAACGGTATTCATGTGCTTTATATTTAATTGTAATTTCTAAAGGAATATGAACCACTTTTTACGTTCTTGTTTATGAGTCTGATACAATTTTAAAGACTGTTGATGTGGCACTCGACCAAACTTCACGTATATTTAATAAGTCATACTAGGTAATAAGGCCTGTTCATGTTTTGTTTTGGTGTCATTTACGATCAGAAGTCTTTCGGTCAGTCAGCTACAACGTAGGACCAGGCACATTTATGCATCGGTCCAAGTTGCCATATCACATTAACACAACAAGATGGACACCGGATTCATAAAAGTAGTTAATTCAGAGGTGGTAATATATAAAAGAAAGATTGCAATAAGGATATGAAGTCTTTCATGCACACCGAAATCCGTGGTAAAATTATTGGGAATACAAAGAATCTAGATTTGATTTTAATTATTTATTCAGTTTTTATCGATTGTATAATTCTGTTTTTACCTGACAGTACGTAACTTTTCATCAATTTCCACATGTATTCATACTAAAAGAACAATGTCACTTATTCTTAACGTATAAATTTATGTATGAAATCACTAACCAAGCTTGGTTTTTTAGTTTTAATTCGGAAATAGATTGGCTTTTATAAATTCTCTATATCCACGAAAATGTATTCATGTTGTAGCATTCTTTGGTCGTGTCTCAAAAAGAGTGCATTCGCCTTCGTCAAGACTACGAAAATATCCAAGAAGCGTACCAGAATTTGGCAAATGATAGGCAGTCGAAGCAAGTAGCATCAGAGGGATCAAAGGTAAGCTTTATAAAAGTCAAGGCTCTATTTCCTTGTTGGTTGGTTGCATTTATAAATCAATTTATCAAGTTTCATGGTCTATATTTTGCCATCAGTTCAACACACTTTTGCTTGCGATCACTTGTACAATTAAAAATACACTGAAAGTACAACGTCCATAATCATGCTCAATACGTTTTATGTTTTGTTGTGAGTTTTGCTGTTGACCTTTTTCTGGTTTCAGTAATGCAGAAAGATTTTACGATTGGAATGAATCCCCGGTATATAAGGTATAAAATTAATATGAAACTCGATTCTTCAGGAAAGAAATGAGTGGACAAATCTACGATACTATGACCAATTCTCAATCATGCTGCTCGACGTCTCAAACAGCTAGTCGTGAAAACTGTCTTTACTCCGAACTAGTAGTCTGCACCTAACAATACTCAGAGCCAACAGTCCATGATTTCCTAGACTGATGGTACTTCTTGATTTGACCACCGTAGCCTCCTACCAGTCTATTTGTTGAGTCGGCTTCCGAGAACTACAATGGAGCCTCCAGAGGCCCTAAAGGAAAATTCTCCGGCTCCTATATGGCCTCTGGAGGCTCCATTGTAGTTCTCGGAAGCCGACTCAACACCTCCCCCGAATAAGATTTCTTTCTAGGATCCACTTGTAGCTTGATAACTGGTTTCCGGTGGCGTCCCATTGTTCTTGTTGTCTTCCTTGTCCGAGGCTTCTTTTCAGTGTCCTTGGGCATATGTAAAGTTGATGTGTCGAAGATTAACTCTAACGGAAGATTCGGCTGGTTATTTTGAGTCTGCCAAGGGTTAGTGAATTTGAAGCATGATACCTCGATGGTAGAGAACGGTAACCGTTTCCTTAACGTCAATGCAGTCGAGAGAAAAGTTTCACAAGGTTCCAGTACGCATAATTATCGTAATGACAGTGACAAACCACCATCTCCATCCTGGTCTGTGTGGCGCATATGTATTTGGTGCCTGCTTGTACCAATATTTATGTGGCATTGCTCCACTACCTTGTAGAGCAATGCCAAGAGATGCAGTCCCATGGTATCCTGTATTTCTTGAAGTAGGATTTTGCAGAATATCGTTTGTGGTTTCTTTTTCTGCAGCCGGTTTCTATATGGCACTTCCAACGACAATTACTGCAACAATGTTCTTTAAACGGGCAGAACCTCTTGTAATGCCAACCTCCACAAGACCAGCATGGAGATGATGGTTTGTCACTGTCATTACGATAATTATGCGTACTGGAACCTTGTGAAACTTTTCTCTTGACTGCATTGACGTTAGGGAAACTGTTACTGCTCTCTACCATCGAGGTATCATGCTTCAAATTCACTAACCCTTGGCATTCGGTAGTTACTTCCTGCAGCATCATATTGGGGCAGTGTTCGAGCTTGCTTAGGATTCTTGTTCGGATGTCAGCATCTTCGGGTGAACGCAGGCTACAGACAAGTACTAGGCATTTAAACTGGTCTTCAGTCATGGAAGACAACTTGAAGCTCTCACACTCTCGGTTCACAATTCCTGCATGTTTCACCCAGTCATCTGGTTCTTTCGTTATCTTCAAGCATTGGTAACGGATATTAAATAGAGATGACTGTTCTCCAAAGATTTGAGACAGTTTTAATTGTTTCATCAAAACTATAGTCTCGTGGGTTCTTCGGGAGAATGAAGTTACTGTAGCGATCATGTTCCATTGTCTCAAGTTTTCTTAGAAGTATTTTGACTTTTGAGGTGTCATGAAGCCTGCAGAGACCAATACAGAGCAAATTTTCATATTTCTTAAACCAAGAATCAAAAGTTACACCTGCTGCAACATCAAAATTAAATTCGTGAATGGCATTAATGACTGAATCAGTATGAGATACTTGCGATTCACCAAAAGCAGGGTTTTGCTGGTCAAATCCAAGGAAAAATGTTTCTGATTATTGTGGATGCATTTACTAAGTGGCCAGAAGCATATACCATGCCCAATTGTACAACATTAGAAACAGTCCACAAGTTGTCTACCTTGTTTAGCTGCTTCGGAGTTCCAGAGACCTTAGTAACTGATAATAGCTCGCAATTAATCTCAGAATCGTTTAAGTATTTCTGTAGCACAAATGGAATAACTCATCTTTGTTCTCCGCCCTATCATCCGCAGTCGAACGGACAAGCAGAACGTTTTGTGAACACTTTTAAACGAGCATTACTGAAAGGGGGAGGCGAAGGGACAACTGGACAGATAATCACAAAATTTTTAACATCCTACAGAACCACTCCGAACCCAAATGTTTCAGATGGTAAGTCTCCTGCTGACGCCATGTTCGGAAGGCGTATTCGGACCGTTTTCAACGCTATGTTGCCATCCAAATTAGTGGATGAGCACAGTTACAATCCAAATATCTGGAGCCTTAATGTTGGCGACGAAGTTTTCATTAAATCCTACCTCGGGAAGAACCTATGGGAGCTAGGAAAAGTTGTACAAAAATTGGGAAAAGTTTTGTACAGAGTCCAAGGAACTTTTGTAACATGTATATGACATACAAATCAGATCCATAAAGACAAAAGAACGATGCAGACTCAAAATAACCAGCCGAATCTTCCGTTAGAGTTAATCTTCGACACATCAACTTTACATATGCCCAAGGACACTGAAAAGAAGCCTCGAACAAGGAAGACAACAAGAACAATGGGACGCCACCGGAAACCAGTTATCAAGCTACAAGTGGATCCTAGAAAGAAATCTTATTCGGGGGAGGTGTTGAGTCGGCTTCCGAGAACTACAACGGAGCCTCTAGAGGCCCTATAAGAGCCAAAGGGTTTCAGCTAATCAGAGCATGAGGAAGCTTTCTAGAATATCAACATGGTATACTACTATTGGTCAGTAGCATAGTATGTTTCTTAGCGGATTGGCCAAATTATAATGTTGATTTGACAAACAGTCAGTCAGTAACAACGTAGAACTTCGTACGTACGTACATCAGTTCGAGTTGCCACACCACATTAGCACAGAGATACAGTTGTCGATTCAAATCCCGTAGTGGTAGAGGTAATAAGAGTATAAGCAGTAATCGGGAAGATTAGGGTTTGGAGATGTTATTTAAAGAGTATAATCCAGTGAAATAAATTTGGAATGAGGAAAAAAGGGACATGAAGAATTCAGAAGATTAGAATTTGGGAGAACACAGAGAGTGGATGCACCTGCGCCATTGCAAACGATTTTGAGCCATGTCATTCAGGGTCTCTAACCATCGGTTGCTATCATCTCGCGGTCCCCAACCAGGTAGTCTACACCTACCAACATGACTCAGTTCACTTGTTAGTGACTTCATGGACTTGTGCCATGTTTTGGTCTGGCCGCCTCTAGCTTTCTTCCAACCTACTCCTATACCACTGAACTTCGCGCGTCAAGGCAGTCGGTAGTTGGGCATACGTTATACGTGTCCCAGCCATCTCAACTGATGAAGTTTCACTACTTCATCAATTGATTTGCCATCCTTATTTAGTACCCGTTTCCTAACAACTGTGTTACTTACTAGATGGTCCCATGATATACGAGCAATGTTTCGAAGACACCTATGATCAAATACTAGTAGCCTACGGATATCCTCTACTCTTGCCGGCCATGTTTCACTGCCATAAAGTAGGACGGGACGAACTGCTGCACAGTAAACACGTCCTTTGGTTGGTAGACGGATATCTCGCCTACACCATAAATGACGCACGTTGGGAAAAGCTAGTCGAGCCTTCTGTATCCGTGCTGAGATTTCGTCACACACCAGACCACAAGGGCTGATGAGACTTCCAAGATAAGTGAAGCGGTCGACACACTCAACTACTTCACTCCCTATCACTAGTTTGGGTGTCGATGTAACCCAATCCTGAAGCAACATTTTGCATTTCGAGGGAGAGAATCGCATCCCGAACATGCTTGCATTGTTGCTTAGAGTGGTCAGAAGACTCTGCATTTTGTCAGCGTCTTCACCAAATAAAACTATGTCATCTGCATATTCTAAGTCAACAAGTGAACCTCCCGGTAAAAGTTCAACCCCTGGAAATTTAGATGAGGAGAGTGTTATCTCTAAAAGTACGTCGACCACAAAGTTGAACAAGAATGGGGAGAGTGAACAGCCCTGACGAACACCACTTGAGGTAATCAATTCTGATGACAGTTCGCCATAAGCTCTCACTTGACCAGTTGTGTTCGAGTAGAGAGCCTTTATAAGGTTAATGTACTTCTTTGGTACTCCTTTCAGTGACAAACACTGCCATAGAACCTCACGATCAACAGAGTCGAATGCCGCCTTAAGGTCGAGAAATACTACAATTGTGGGGCGTCTGAATGTGTGTCTGTGTTCTAGAACCTGACGTAGTGTGAATATGTGGTCTATACAACCACATCCAGGTCGAAAACCGGCCTGGTTTTCTCTAATCTGCTCTTTACGAGTTTTGATTAGGCGTCGAAGTATTATTGAAGCTAATATTTTAGACACTATATTAGTCAAACTGGTTCCTCTGTGATTGTCACAAGATGACTTTTGTCCTTTCTTATAGACTGGCACAATCAGTGATTGAGACCAGTCAGATGGGATTACGTCCAGTTCCCAAATCCTACCTAAGACCTCGGTTAATCTCATTGCTAATACTGGACCACCATCCTTAAAAATCTCAGGAGTAAACCTGTCAGGGCCTGCTGCTCTCCCTCGTTTCAGATTTCCTATGGCTTTTTCAACTTCGTAAAGGGACGGAGGACCTACATTAACTTGCCATTCAGGTTGACTAGAGATCGTGGGAAACCGAAGTGTGGCTGAAGGCCAGTTGAACTGATCCCTAAAGTGTTCTGCCCATCGATCCAATCTCCTGGATTGAGAATGAATAATATGTCCATCTTTCTCTGAGATTGTTTCGCTAACGGTCGGGTTCCTAATACCGGTTTCCTTAACGAGTCTGAACAATTGTCTACTATTACCTATTGCCGCTGCCTTTTCCATCTCTCTTGCTTTCGCTACCCACCACTGTTCGCGATCATTGCGTAGACTTCTTGTCAGCTTGCGCTTAAGCTGACTCCGCTCTTCATTATGTTCAGAGCCAGGTGGAATGAGTTTCCGAGCATCTATCAGTGAGATAGATGCTGCTGAGATCCAGTGTTGCTCCCTAACCTTCTGGTTTACCTTACTAGCAAATATCACTGCTGTTTCCACAGCTTTTCGGATATCATTCCATGCTGCCTCAGGGTGGGCATCACATACATGGCTGCCTAACTGTTTTCCTAGTTGTTCCTGAAATATACTCTTAGCTTGACTATCATTAAGTAGGCCCCTAAGAGGTTTCCTTGCAGCGTCTTTCCTATGTCCAGTAAGACGCAAGCAAATACGCGCTCGCACTAGAGCATGATCTGAATCTAGGCATGTGCTCCAGAATGAGCGACAGTCTTCTATCGAGCCCCTCCATCGGTGGCTGATAGCGATGTGATCTATTTGGGTCCAACGTTGGGACGAATTAGGGGGTCGCCATGTTAAAAGATGTTTTTCCTTATGCTTAAAGTTAGTATTTGCAAGGAACAGGCGGTTATCTGAGCATAGCTGCAACAGACGGTCGCCATTATCTGTTCTTTGAGCCACGACACCATAAGATCCACCTAGGTGTCTTTCCCTATCGCTTAGTTTACCTACTTGAGCATTAAAGTCACCGGCCACTATTACTACATCCGAGCGCCTAGCTTTTCGGAGAAGGTCCGAAAGCTTTCTGTAGAACTCATCTTTTACATCATCTGAGCTGCAGTCAGTGGGAGAATAGGCAGAGACGACGAAGAGGCAACGACAAGTGTCCCTATCTTTCCGGATTCTTACTGTTCCGTTCAGTCGGACAGCGCACAAACGACTGTCTACTGGGATCCACTCTAAGAGAGCTAGTTCTGCCCTAGGACTCAATGCTATACCTACGCCGGCGAGACCACGGGAAGCAGAATCAGGGCTTCCAGATACACGAAGCGTAAATCGAGTCGGTTCTTTATTTTGGCATGGTGAGGTCAAATGAATGACGCTACTTGGATCCTGTATGCGCGTTTCGGAGACGCAGCACACATCGATGGCGCGAGATTCTAAAGTTTTAGCTAAGGAAGCCTGCTGTCCTATTTGGCAAAGTGTTCGTACGTTAAAAGCTCCTACGTGTAGTTTAGAGCGTGGTTTCAGGAGACCAGGAATGGCGTTTCACGTACTCGAATCGTTTGCCCTAGCGGTGCGAGGTGATAAAGAGACGTGAGGAGGGTTAGTCGGGGAGATAAGAGAGGTATTAGGAGGTGTAGGAAGGATTTGAATGTGACCACCTTGGTCTCTTGTGCTGTTACGGGTATGAGGGCTGATATCACTTCCCGGCTGCCCACACCATGGAAGGGTATTTCTTGAGGAACCTGAAAAGGAAATTGGATTAGTGTTGGTCTTGACGACCTGGGAGCGTGACCGCAGAGCCCAAGGGACAACTGCTTGAGGCCGGTCGCGCACGGCCTTTTTGTGGAAGGTTTTTGACGTGTTAGCTCCGTTCTTCAAAGGGCCTCCGGCCGGAGACGGAAATCTGTGAGGTAAGGTGAGGTGTGACATTTGTAGGGTCGAACTTTTTTAACCCCTTCTTTCCTTATGAGAAAGCAGCATCGCTGCAGATGCTGGTTGTCCGAGGGAAACACCTGACTGCTGTCACACCCCTCTACAGTCAGCAGTACGACTTCGCCCTCAGACCTTGAGTTGCTGCTTTTAGTCTTACCGTTCACCAATCGACCTGCCTGGCATGGTAGAACCTGCAGGAACATATGTTCCGGCCAATATAGCTCGGTTGGGTCATCACGATAGGCAAGCCCGACCACCGCGTCAAGGTATCAGCTTCGATCGGGGATTTGACAAACGCTGATGATCTATAAATACCCTTGTTTTTCTGTACGAAAACGAACCTTTGGAGTAAAGTGCTTTTCTCTTAATTTGCGCCTTTTCCCTTGTGTTCAGGTCGCTGCGTATTTTCAGTTTGAGGGTTACTAGAATAGCTCAGGAACCGAATAAAGCGTTAAAATTAGCAAGACTTACCACTATTCTTATGCCAACTAATATTGGACATTAAGGCGTGCGTATTTAGGCACCTTTTTGACCTAGTATTTTAGTCGTAAATCCTTTTGGCGCTGTACATGTCGACGAGACATTTTTCCATCGTCATAGACGCGATTAGTTTAATATAGACAAGAGATATCACTCTTGATCCTCACATATAGTTTCCGAAGATTTCAGTCGAATCTTATAACAGAAAATGCCTATAAAGCAGTAATTGGGTTACACATAACTGTTCAAATAGGTTAGGACTCCTAAATGAATTGGAAATTATTCAAACTGCATTTGAATTATCCAACCGACTTAGTTGTCATGGCGGAACCTAAAGAGATGATGTAGCTCTGTTTGATCATCACGGTTAGGAATCACAATCATCACATCAAGGTAGCAGCTACAGACGGACCTCTTCTTAACTCTACCCATGATTTTTATCCAAAACGAAGTAAAACCAGTAGTATTGTCTAGTGCAAATTCAAACATACTACTGGTTTGATAATTATATTTTTTGTTATATCTCAATGAGTAGAAAAGTTGTATTTTTGACGTTTCTTGACTTAGTGTAAGCTACTTCAGAGTAAATAAATAACCGAATTAATTTAACACAAGTTTAAATAGTACCATTTAGAATTGTGTTATTAACTTTCTACTAAAAGCTTGATATTTCAATAAATTCAACTACCCATTAGTGTTGCTTTGACAAAATCACCCTTTACTGTTAAGTGATACTAACTTCAAAACTAATATTTAACGATTCTCATACTAGAAGTGAAACAATGAGATAATGTAAGCTATATGATTTTGTCTTATGAAAAAATGTCAAAAATTTCATAATTAAGATTCTTTAATAATTTTGTCGCTGTCTTGGTTTTCTATGGTCTTTAGTTCTAATAAATTCGATTACTGAACATAGTATCACTTTTTACTAAGGGTAGTTTCAACGCGAAGATCTTAAATAGCTTTCTTAATACTTCGATATAATGTTGGGAATATACAGATCACGAACTGTTTTGATTTATGTATACATTGTCCAGCCTTTTTAGTCTGGATAGTTTTACCTTTCTTGTTGCTATATATATTTCAGTCATTAACACCATTTGAAAAAAAATGTTTGACTTGAAACTACTATCAGACATTCATTTTTGCTTTGACTGGAATCAGTTATTAGTTCTATTAGGTCCCATTGCTATCATTGTAAAGGTATGTCGAGTTGTATCTTAATCGGTCCCTGGTTCATGCACTTAATTGTAATCACATAATAAACTATTTCTGGAATGTATAATGTTTTCACCTTACCAGCAATTGTTTATCTTATTTATTTATTTGAACACATAAGTATTGGTACAAAGGGCACCGAATACATATGTGCCACACAAGTCACTTAATTTGTGTGTGGGCTATGATACTGCCCGGGTGCCCAGACCGAAGCAAGTGATTTTCTTAGGGGGCCACACCCGGAGCCTCCGACCTACAGGTCTGATCCACAAGGTAGTGGAGCAATGCCAAGAGATGCAGTCCCATGGTATCCGGTGACTAACAATTGGTTCATACGTCATTTGTTCCTTCAGGATCCTGGAGCCTATGTGCACCATTGGTTTGGAATCAGGGTTTCCCAACTCCCCTAAGTGAACCCTCCGTATCCACCAACCCGGTTAAAGCGCCAGACATTCACTTTTCGTCCTCTCAACTTCGTAAGCAACACCCCCACCACGAGAAGGCAGTGAGTAGGACTTCCCTCGAAATGGCTGTATACGTGTGGCCATGTGAGAGTATTTTGAGAGGGAGAGCTGACTCTCCTCACCCTCGGCCGTACCGGGGTATTTGGGAGCATAATAAAGGGGCGGATTTGTATGCATATAGCATACAATTCTCTTTGAACCTAGCACACAACAATAAAGTTGTTTATCCAGAAACTTTTTTTTTAGTTTCTAATCGATTACATGATTATCATTCTTTTAATTTATGAAATTTTGTTTAGCTCACGATTCTTCACATGTTACCACTTGTATTGTAAAATCTGACATTTCATTTTTTTTCAGTAAATTTTAGAGATTTAAGTACAGTTCATGTACTGACAAATCACTCCGTAGCTAACTTTGCTTAAATATTACTATTACTAATCATATGAGCTCTTAACGTTGCTTTTTACTTAACTTGATCTGGACAGCTAAATGATATTGTAAGCTCGAATAAATGTCTATTTATACAGTCTAGATTGGGAACATGTAGGCATTTTATGCGCTGCATTAGGTGTCCAATATATGTTCGAGTAAGATGATAAGTCGCAAACGGTTTTTAACATAAAACAAACAATTAGTTTGTTTGTTAACTAACTGTCAAAATCATATTTTCATGTTATACTTTGATTTTATTCGAATTCAGGAAAGCAAAATCGAAAAATCTGATGTGAAAGTCGAGACTGACCAACTTAAAGATGAAAAAGTGCTTGGAAAAGTTTTCGACCAGTTTCTATATTCTGATCATAGAGCAAATAATAGACAAGCCCTTGATAGCCATAACGGTAATGGTAAGGATTCTCAGTAATGTTTTTTATCTTATTTAATAGAACTAGCTGTTTGATTTCATTTGACATCTAAGATAAACAAGAATGACTCTTATCTTAATGACTTCCTAAAAACATTTTTTGGGTAACTAAAATTCTCCAGATTCGAATCCAATCGTTTGTGATTAATTTATCCCGACTTACGTATATCCTAAATCAAACTAGAATAGCAACAGATAAAGTGAAGTTTGAATGTTCAATAGGTGTTTCTATTAAGGACAAAGTAATATTATCCTGCTTAGTTTAATATAAAATAACTTAATACAAAAAAATTATTCAGCCATATCACTGATAAGTTCATAGCTAAATCTCTAAGTATTTCCCAACTTTTCACAGTGAGGAAGTTGACAATATTTAAATGTATATAAAGCATCAACCGAATTAATAATGTAGGTAGGTTGATTATTTATGTTTATGCGAAGTACTGACCTAATTAGTGATGTACATATAATCACTACCTCGGTATTATTCATTCGTATCTGGTGTTTTACTTTTTTCAAAACAGTTGTTCCACAAATCACTAACAGCACAGAATTCTGTTATATCTGTTTACACAGTCCGTTCAACAAATGCGCAAACTGAAGTGGGATGAACTTAGTTTTTACAAATTATAGGATTCATCATTACTATTCCCTTCAAAACATTTTTCATTTGTGGCAGTACACTTGTCTTATCTGCGATTTCACTATCCAGAAATCCCTGAAAGCTCTCAGAACTCGATATTTTGCATTGTTTCGTCTTCTCACATTTTGCTAGAATCGTATGCACTAACAAGTTTTCCAAATTCAATCAATCAGGAATCATCCTGATAGTGAATCAACAGTCAGAAACCAAAAGTTCTCATACATCCAGTGTTTTCACCAAAAGAAACGTGTCATCCTCCATAAAGAGCTTTTAGTACTTCAATTTTCGTGCATAAGTAAAATACACCATCATTAGAAATGTTGATTTGTCAACCAGATATCTTGCATTGGTGAATCATCGACAGACGTTTCTCGACTGAGCTCATTTTCCTGGCTTAGTAGCTGGATATTAAGATTTTAATTAATATGTAAATAGTATGTGAATTTATGGTTATCTGTAACAACAGTACAAATTTGCGATCATTAGATTTCCTAATTCTAAGCTTTTTTTCAGATGCAAACATTCTTATGAATGGTTTAGACAATGGCATTTCGAAAATCCCTGAGAATTATGATGGTTAGTATATTTCTTTTTTTCTTGCTGAATTTATGCATTACCTATCTGTTCATTTATCTATTTTTGCTAAAAATGATTCGGTATAGATAGACGCTGAAAAATACTTCACAATTGACGAAGTATCAGTTATGAGAAATAAAACGGGAAATCATCTATTAATAAGATAGAAAAGTAATATTTAGAGAATCAGCTTAAATAACGAAACATTTAAAATCAGTTTCTTTTTCCCCAGAATATATACTTCAAAGGAACTAACGGTAACTACAACAGGTTTTCCGATGATATTAATTGAATCCTACTTCCAGGAATCTATGGGGATACTTGTAATATGTAAAAAGAGTGCTAATACCTATCATTTTGTAATATCATCCCCCAAACTGACTGCCGCTTTACTTTCATTCAGTTTATGTGTCATCAAATTGTATCCTGTTGATTCGTGACACTTTGGCGTTCGTAATACGAAAATTAATCCAGTCTTCCAAATCGTTTCCAGGTTCACCCAACTAACTAGACACATGAACTCTTCAACAATAAGGTTGCAGAAATAGTGCCATACAAACATTTCATATAACTTTAGCCACTAACTGGTAAAATGACTTTTATAAACTTCGTCTAGGTATCCGTCTAGCTTTGGTAAATCCCTCAGACTGGAAAAAGTTCACAACATTTGGTATCATTGGCTGAAACACTTGTATATTGTCCTGGAATGTGCAATAACTTCATTCATTGACTTAATCGTTCATCCAACATAAATATCTGTATTAATCTAATAAAACTGGGCAAGCTAGCAGCGTAGTCATTAAAACGTTTAAAAATATACTCTAGGAGTTTGAATATTGACATATGTTAAATTATTAGTGTTTGACTGGTTTTCTACATCGTACTCATCAAACGTAACCTCAAACATATCAACATTAGAATTAGTGACATCATCATTAGTCATGCATTAGCTATATGCATGTACTTACAACCTTTAACAAAAAACAGGGATTGATGATGATGTACAGTATTGAGCCGCCAAATAAAATTCTCACTTCCAAATTTTTCTTGTTATCTATCAATTATCAATGCGATCTCAGAGTTTTATGGTTATAGAGAGGGGAATGGTTTATTTTAGTGTTTGTGTGAAATCCAACTTCTAAACTTAGAATGCAGTTGTATTGTGGCATGCTGAAGAGAGATATGTATAATTTGAAGATAATTTTATTGTTCATTGACGTACGTTGGATAGAAAGTGAAAACCTAACAGCACTGGAGATGTTTCTTAGGCTCTTTAGTCGTACGCAAGGAAACATAATGAACTCCTGCCTTTCAGCTAACCAGTATGTCAGATAACAACTATGCGTTTTACACACATGGTCATGTGATTTTATTTCAAATGAAGCTTACTTTGTTCCTAAAAATATCATGTTTGAAGTCAGTTCAGTTTTAAGTAAATCAACTTTACATGCTCTTAAGGGTTTGTAAATCTGAATTCTGATAAATTTCGAAGAATAAAATCGTCTGTATTCCTTATTCTTAATACTATTGAATATCAAAATCAAGAGTCATTAAAGAGATCTTCATTCAACGAATTTACGATATAGCTTGTTAGGAAATTAATTAGAAGCAAATAGTTTCTCTGAGTTTGTTTTCGTTGATGAATAATCCATTTTCACTTGTAGTCAAGTGTTTGCTTATCTTTTGATGGAGAGAACTGAGGTTTTATGTTGTTGGCAATAGTAGTAATATCGAAAAGTTGGAATCGGAAGATTTGTTTTCATTGTTAGACCATGTGAGATGAATTATGTTACTATAATTCGCGTTTTATTTTGTGTCATTTTTTTGCGTAATTCAGAGATATTTTTCTTCATCAAAGTCATATTCGTCGAGAAGTCGACCAAGTCGGATTTAGTGACTTTAGTAGAGCTCCGTTATTTGTTAAGTTAACGTTGTCGACAGTCCGACAGTAGTTGACTGAGCATATTAAATAAGTATTGTGGAATATCACAAATTAAATGAAATGTAGTATAGATTTTTTGGATTCCAAGTTAGTGATAGAATGGTGTGTTGTCGGTCGACCCTGGAAGCTTTTGGTTCAATGCAATCTCTTTATTAGTTAGTCCGTCACTGGGACGGAATAGCTTTATACTTTTCCTGTTTTTTTATAAATAATTCTTCGGTCAATGTTGGTTCGTCATGAAAAATCTGTTCAAAATAAGTTAAGCAATCCGAATTTGGATTTTGAGTTTATAATTGTTGTTTGTTATTGATCGCATAATAACTAGAGATATTCTTACTCATGAGAAATCATACATACATTCTGAGTATTTTCAGTTCTGCATTTTATATACCGATGTATTTCTGGATGTTTTATTCTTTGTTTGCTTTTACTGTAATGTAAATACACTATCTTATTTTTTAGATAAGTTAAATAATATCAACGAACGATTCGGTATGCAAAATAATTTCGATTTATTGAAATCATCGGAACCTGATAATTTCTTCGGTGTTCAAGGTTAGTGATAGTTTATGCTGTTTGTGTTTCAGTGTTCCCACCGCTTTTTTAATTTATTTAATAAATATGATAACGTATAGTCTCTCTATCTGTTTTGTACGTGATTAGGGTAGCGCACACTTATATGAAGTTCGAAGAACTCAGAACCATCGGAAATAAGTTCTTCATGAATAATCAGATTTCCGGGTTATTTTGAGTAATAAGAGAACTGAATAGACTTTTGTTAATACGGTCTTAATCTCAAATTCTAACTTAATTTACTAATAATAGAGTAGAATTCTATGAACATGGCACTCATATCTTGTAATTTCTTCAAATGGTTGAATTCGATTATTTTGACTAATATCATCCATCTTAGATTAAATAACTTTTGATAATTAGTCATATAAATGCAAATAGATTTATTATTCTTGTTAATATCTGAGATTTTTGAACTTTTACGAATAAAAATAAAGAGAACAATTGTTTTGTTCTTCTTAAGAACATAAAGACTGTCTTTTTAGGCAACATATACTGCTATAGGTATCATTATCAAGGTTCGATTTGATAATTTCGAATAAATTAAGTATTGGGTAGATTGTTATAAATAAATAATATATTTGTAATATCCCAATGAAGAAGTGGCTTACACTAAGTCACGAAATGTCAGAAAGTCCAATTTTTTATAACATATACTTCTGTTTGGATACTTAATTTTGCTGTTTGTTTTTTAGGGCAACATGTCACCACAAATGATGAATCTCATAACGGTCATACATCTATTCGGATAATTGAAGGTATTCGGCTTTTCAATCAATCAAATCAATTAATCAAATTGCTCCAAGGTATGAATAAATACTGTGTAGTGTTTACCTTTATTATACCCTTTTTCATTAATTTCCGGAAAACTGAACTTTACCTCATGTTTATTGTCATTTTCAAATTTGTGGTTGATGATTAAGCGCTTCATAAGACTCTTTAAGCTGATCAAGGATGAAGTTGATAAGTTTTTCCCTGTATTAATTACATAGAATAAATGAAATTTATTTCGTATTGACACATAGTTGGGATAATCTAAACTCGTCTACTATTTAAGAAATTCGGGATCACGTTTTAAAACATCGCTATTTCAATTTCTATTAACATAAAGTTAGGTGAGTCTACTACATTTCCTGTCTTTAACTAACCAACACATTTCGGTTATCTGTAATTAATAACAAAAGTAAACTTAGGTACAATATGCATCGCAAGACAGCTGTAGAAAATCGTGTACAGAAGCGAAAATAACCATTTATCTACTTATGTACGAAGTTAACTATTTACAAAATTTTATCCTCTTGTATCTCCCAGGGTTATTGATCGATTAAAGAGTGACAATCCACCTTGTCTAGATCATTTTTGTATTGAAATTATCAAGCTAATTCAGAAAGAGTCTGTCTTTCTAGTACAAGGATACTTTGATAAATAATTTTGTGACCATTTCTAAGTTCTTGCTGTAATAACTTGATATATTTATACATTCTGGGGAATTCCATTTGCCATTGTTTTAATAATCAGATTATATTTGGATACCTTTCGATGTCAAACAGTATAGATGTACAGAGATATTATTTCGGCAATGATGAAGTATATATTTATATAGATTTACTTTGTTAGATATGTCGCATGTAGATTACCTTGAGCTCTATTATAATTAAATATTATAAATCGAAGTAATTTTTAACTATGAATTCAACAGTAAAATAAATACTTAACACTATATGTTATAACGCTTGGTTTTCCTCGTCTACATGAATTGGACGCTAATTTGCCTTAGACGAATATCTATACTAGATACCCTCCCAGTGTCTGTTCTACCAGAATTCAACACAACTCAGATCAAGAACACGTGATTAGCCTGACTAGAACGTAAGTATATTTCCGCATCAAAGCCCGACATTAATAATAATAATAAGGGTAAAAGAAAATATAACTTATTTGTACCTGTCAGACTATCTGCTAGTCTGATTAAACAAACAACGAATCATTATCATTCTCGCCCACACATCACTATATGATCATTTCATGTTGCTACCTTTTGGCTTTTTTATAAACGTACTTATAGGGAAAATTTTCAGCGTTTATCCTTTAGTTCTTATAATCTTATTTAAGAAAAAACGCTTTACAATTTATTCATTTAGATGAATTAAGTATTTTGGCCAAGATAAAAAGGTCAAATGAATCAACTCTTTCCTTACCGGTGAATTCTGATCCAGCTACAAACAATATTGATTCTTTTGAGTCTCTTGATAATGTTGATCCTGATAAAACTTCATTGAAAAGACTCGATGTTGTTAGTTGTAAAGAAAATAATTTTGAAACTGCCTTACAACGTGCAACAGAGTATGCTACTTTAGTTGCTAATCTTCAACGTCGTGTGGGTGCTGATTTAAATTCTTTGTGTTTACCACCGAATCTTCATAATAATGCTGATATTTTTAATATTCACAGTAAGTTTTCAATGTGTTTTACGTCAGTAAATCACTGTATTCTGATTCATCACTTTATTGAACAAACCAGTGTGCATATTTTATACATGAAATTAAATTCTTTCTTCTTATGGTCCATACTTTTACAAAAAGGTTTCCGAATTTGAATAAAACAGCAAACAGTTTTTCTATAGTAGTGGGATGGATAATTAATTGTTATTCTATGTACTATTTATTCACCACACTAATTGACACTAAAGAGTAACTAACTATGTACACACTGGTGACTAACTTCATGACTAGTTTCCAGGAGTCCTAGTGACCTTAACCATATCAAAAGTGAGAGGGATATAGCCTATAACTATGAATAATCTCTGTGCTTATGACACGGATTGACCAGAATTTGAAATATAGACAGTCGGTTTCCGATTTAATATTTTTGAGGTAATGGACTCACTTGATATCTAGTGGTCATGGGTCAAGTTCTTAGTAAGACAGGTTGTAAGTGTTTACTGCTAAATCCCAGATTAATAACTGTCATCCTATAATTGCTCTTCACCACTATCTTTTTAGATGATTTATGTATACCTCCTGCCGAATTCAGGACGACTCATATAACTAAAATGGATGTTTGTCTAGGAACAGAAACACTTGCCGATCATATTCAATCTACTGAAGTGGATGGGACAGCCAACCAGAAAGTTGAAATTAATCACTTGCAAGCGTACAGAATGGATAAAGATTCACATACAGATGAAGAACTTTCAAAACTACACAGTGAGTATTGTTTATGATCATTAAGTACTATTGTGATCTCTAATAATAAGATGCCCCAAAACTTGACCTCATTATGTCCGCTCAGTAAGTTAACCCTTCTGATCTAGGTTTACCTACTGTAGTATAATCGGCTATCTATCTGTAAGTTTTAATCCAGTGTATTTCAGAGCTTAATATACGTGTAAATAATTTCCGAGTTTTATTTATTTCACACGATGTGAACAACTGCCTTATTTTTATCTATAGTCTTTAATACTTCATTGATTCTATCCAGTAGTAGGAAATTAGTTGCGAAAATGTTAAATAATTCATACGATATGGTTTTATTGTATGTCACTGTTTATTTCGGAAAATGTCATTGTGCAGATAAAAGGAGATATAAATATATAGTTATTTTTCGTGTAATTAAATGTCATTCCATTTTCCATTTAAACCTACTATCTATGTATTTTTTTAAGATGAGCTAATGGAATCCGTGAATGAGATTGAAACTTACAAACAGTTGACCGAAGATTTAAGAAAACAAGGTGAGTTTTTAAGTTTGTTTCTGTCCTACTGATTATTCCAATAGTCATTAGAATTAAGTTGTTAATGTAATATTGTCAATATTGGGAATTCGTGTTAAATATTTGTAAAATACAAAGTAGTTGTTCATTTTTTATAATATGTCTTTACGTTTTAGCAAGTTTATCAATCACCTTTATTTACTGTATATACAACTCGGTGTTTACTTTCAATTTGTTTCTATTAATATGTTCACAGTATTTTGTAAGACATTGCTATTATGCCATTCTATGCGAAATTCCTTTTCCTATGATTACTTCTTAAGGTAAATTTCAAAACATTCTAATCTAATAGTTTATATGATATAAGTGTACTTTTTCTTGCTTATTTGAATTGTAGATGCCGCTAAAGCAGAGTTATTGTTATTGGTTCGAGGAGAATGTGATGCACTGAAAAGTCGAATCGCTGTAATTGAAACCGATGTGGCAACAAGTCGTGCTGATCATCACCGTCTAATATCTGAAACAAGAAGAGCACAAGCAGAAGCTAATAAATTGTTACTTGAACGTGACAATTTATCGAAACAAGTGAGTACTGTCCACGTTTTTTTTTACCAAATATACAAATTTGTGTTTAGTATTTGCAGTAAAACAATCGTAACTTGTACTTTTTTAAACACTTATTTTTAGTATCCCTTAAATGCCTTGGTGCAGCCGAGGGTGGGAAAAGTCCTATCTCCTCGAAACGCACTCACATGGCCACGCGTATACAGTCACTGCTAGGGAAATCCTACTCACTGCCTTCTCGTGGCAGGGTTGTTGCTTAACGAAATTGAGAGGACGAGAAGTGAATGTGCTGTGCTCTAACCGAGTTGGTTTATATGGAGGGTCTAGGTAGGGGAGTTGGGAAACCCTGATTCCAAACCAATGGTTTGGATGAGCCTCAGGATCTTGAGGGAATGGATTGCGCATGAACGTATTGTTGGTCAACGGCTACCATGAGACTGCATCTCCTAACGTTTCTCCACCAACTTGTTGATTAGATCTTTAAGTGGTCCTCCTCCTCTTTTAGTGGTCCTCCCAGAAAAAGACGTACTTCGGTTTTGTCTCCTGAGCAATATTCCAGCCCTCACACAAATCGAATGATGAAGTGTGGCGGTTATATATATTTGATGCCTCCTTGTATCAATGTTTATGTTTAAATAAATAAATATTTTTAATTGGAATGCACATTTTTGCTGTCGTAGTAATCTCGCTTCTGGTTACTGTTTACATAGAAAATCTACTTTTCAGATTCATCTGTTTTTTAATATGTATCTTGAATATTTCACTGTACATATTTCCATTGGTTTTTTTTAAAGTCTTACTAACTTCTCACTATTCACGGCATCAAATTTTTGTGTAAATTGTAAATTTGGATTTATAAAAGTGAATTGTAATTTTACACTTGATTTCTTTTTTTTCGCTTTTTCATATAAAAACTTCTAGCTAGATACTGCTAATAATCAAATAGAACATTTACAAAAGCTTCTTGCCAGCACACTTTTGTGTGATACCAAAACACAGATTTCTAACAAGAATTCTATTTCCAACGAAATATCCACTGTAAATTCTTTAAATGATAATCCTTGTCCAACTAACCAATATCCTACTAAAACTAGCAACGTGCCATTGCATGAACATTACGTAAGTGGTTTTTTTGTTACTAAATATATGCGTATATATCGTAGTTATTTTGACGTTAAAAAATATTTTGTTTATGATTTTGATTGGTATTTCTCAATCATTCAGTGATATTTCTAATTTTTGCCTAGTGATAAGTAGTATTGATAATAAACTTTTAATTGATCATAGAAAAAATGATCAATAATTAGTTTTGCGTTTTATTGCATCGATTATAACAAAATTTTCTTCAAATATTACTAAAATTATCACTAATTTTACTTCTGTTCTTTTATTTTTACAGTTCTCATTATTTGCTGTCATTCCTGTTATGGTATTGATTTGTGCGTTCATCGTATATATTTTCTTGAAATTTGTTCGATGACCATCTGATTATATGACTTGTATACAACTGGATTCTCTGTAATATTCTCTTGCTGTTAAAAAATCATACAATAGTAATAATGCTAATAATTTATTTTGATTAGTTTTGAAACCAATAAGGGTAGTTCAATGTGGGAAATTGAGAGAAAAGTGTGCATTCATATTTCAGTCAGCAATTTCGTGAATTTCTACTCACTATATTGTACTTGTATCAATATGTATTGTTTTTCTCGGGGATTATTCATCTTGGTTCAATTTATGGTCAGTTCATCGACCAAGCAACCACGTCTAACCATTTTTCATCAATAAACACGTTTTTTATACATTTGTGTAGTTGATATAAATCAGTATGCTTATTATTGTACATTTAAAACCAATGACTGTCAAAAGTTATTCAGTTTGTTTCTTCCCTGTCTGTAGTTAGTTTAGAGATTTTCAAAAAGCCGCTTTTCCATTATTCTCTTCCTATTACTAGTATCATTATTGAAATGTATTTCCTGGTACCATAATAAATTTTGCTATTCTTTATCGACACAGTTAAACTGAAATTTCACTGGTAATAGTTTATATATATATATATATATATATATATATATATATATATTTATAAACGCGTGATTTTGTTGAAGTATGTTTTTATGTATATATATGTAGAGATTTGTATTTATTAATTCTATTATCGCACTGATCTCTGATGACATCTTGCATTCTTTCCTCCTTTTATTATTATTGTTATTGTTATAATTACTACCGTAAACTGCATGCCTTTGTTTCTCATGGGCTTTCCATCGTTCTTTTCTTCGTACGTCTGTGTGCAGAACAAATATTGTCCCTTTCTTTTTTCACCTTTTTCGTTTATCTATGTAATAATCTGTTTACTGATAAACTAACTATGCTACCTAGGCACAAATCGCCTAATAATACAGTAAACTTCACATCTTTAATTAGTATTATTACCACTATAAACTTATTTCTTTCCATAGTTCTTTTTTATAATTCGTGATTTTTTTAAAATTGTCATAGCTACATCGCAAGCAGTGCATATAAAAGAATGAATGAGTTCAGTTTAAGTCATGTACGAATGCACATATATTGTTATATAAATAAATACGGCTATGGTTTTTTGCTTGAAAGCATGTCTTATAACTTGGCAAATTCTTCTTTACAGAGACATGATTATTTCGCTTGCTTCTTTGTATCACAAACAATTCTGGGGACCGCTAAAAGGGTGTTAAATTCACCTGGATGAATAATTTTTGTTGTATGGTTCATAAATAATCAATGAAATATCAACGAGCTCTGGAAGTCTTTTCTGTTATGAAGCATTTTCTATCTTGTCTCTCGCTAAATTTCATTATGCTTTCGATTTTCGGATTGATAATGTAAAATACACATTTCTTTATATGCGTATGCACAAATGGTTACATATTTCCTGATGCCTTTTCGTTTTCAGAACAACTAAACCATAGCTCAAAACTAGTATGTGTGTTTAGATCCCCTGCGTTTGTATTGTTTTAAAATGAATTAAGTCTGCCCACCTATTATATATATATATATATATATATATATATATATATATATATATATATATATATATATATACTAACCGTCATATTTCATATTTCTGTCAATCAATTTATTGTAAATAATTATCGAGGCCTATGAAATTTTGCAATAAGATCCGATCTCTCGTGAATCGTCCATTTCGCAAAACATGATTCTGTTTAATAAGCTTCTACATTTTCCAAATACAAATTTGGTACGGATGATTGTTAACTCACAATTTTCATCTTATGATTATAAGACTTTAGTGTGCATAATGGAGTTTCGTAACGCCTTAATTAAAACATTTAAAAGGAAAGAAAATGTACGATTTTTAATGTATTTAAAAATTTTATTTAACCCTGTTCTCTTCAGACGACATATATATATATATATATATATATATATATATATTTGAATCTATGAATCTCACGTTCATTTTCAATTGTTTAAATAAAGGGATTGTCTTGTATGTTATTGCTTAGTCTTATGAACACAGTATTGTTCAGAATTACAGGTGTTTATAAAATACTTTTCATTGTTATTATTAATATACAGTGTATAGTTAGGTAGTTACCGTTGTCCATAGTTTTTTTTTATAGTTTCGATGCCCATATTACTGACAAAAAATTCAATGAATAATATGCTTTACTGTAGACTTTCTAGTCGAATCTAAATAACAATATAGTATATATTCTGAAAATAATTAGATTATACACCAATCTACAGACGTGATCACGTTGATACAAACTGGATGTACAATACACAAAACGAAATATTTATAAATTATATTCTTCGGACACTTGTCACAAACATATGTAATTCCGGAAATGTACGTGAAATGCATAATTCAATGCAATGTCATTTTAGAGTACTTACATACGCCCCAGAATGACCTGATACGGTCGAAGGTGGGAAAAGTCCTATCTCCTTCTCGAAACGCACCCACATGGCCACGCGTATACAGTCACTACTAGGGAAATCCTACTCACTGCCTTCTCGTGGCAGGGTTGTTGCTTAACGAAATTGAGAGGACGAGAAGTGAATGTGCTGTGCTCTAACCGAGTTGGTTTATATGGAGGGTCTAGGTAGGGGAGTTGGGAAACCCTGATTCCAAACCAATGGTTTGGATGAGCCTCAGGATCTTGAGGGAATGGATTGCGCATGAACGTATTGTTGGTCAACGGCTACCATGAGACTGCATCTCCTAACGTTTCTCCACCAACTTGTTGATTAGATCTTTAAGTGAAAAGCTTGATTAGTGGTCCTCCCAGAAAAAGACGTACTTCGGTTTTGTCTCCTGAGCAATATTCCAGCCCTCACACAAATCGAATGATGAGGTGTGGCGGATATATATATGTATTTAATGCTTCCTTATACCGGTGTTTGTTTAAATAAAAATAAATAATACGCGTGTTATCCCTCATTGAGAGGCATAGACCTCCCATCAGTATTCTCCATCCAACACTGTCCTGGGCAATCCTTTTGAATTGTTTCCAAGTGCCGTTCTTTCTTTTCATGTCTCCTTCGAATAATCGACTCTGTATGTTCTTTGGTTTTTCTCTCCTCCGTTTTCCTTGAAGATTCCAACTTAGTGCTTGCTTCGTGATGCAGTTTGATGATTTGCGTAATATATTTCCCACCCACCACTTCCAACGTCTTTTCCTAATTCCGTCGTCAGTTCGAAGCTGGTTTGTTTTCTCACAGTAGGTTGTTGCTGATGGTATGAGTTCAACAGACATTCGGTATCTTTTTTAACTGTAGGAATACTGTCCTTGCTTTGTCAATCCTCGCCTTTACGTTTACATGGCATTTTAGATCACAGCATCGTTGTCTAATCAAAGAAAGTAAATATTAACTAGTGTGAGAACTTTAGAGGTATCAATCTGTCAGCACCAGGAAAAGTTTTCAACGATTTTGAAGCGGATGGAAGATTCAGTAGATGCTTAACTTGGATTCTGTATGGATTAGGTTTGTACAGACCGAATCTCGACTTTGCTTATCACTGTTGAACAATCACGGATAGAATTCGTCACTGTACATCAACCTCCTTGATCATGAGCAAGCATTCTTTGACACTATTGTTTACCCTAGGGGATCATCAACATCATCCTGAATTCATACGACGGAGTACACTGCAAATTCGTGCATGGAGGACAGCTGACATTCATTACAAGTGAGGACTCGAGTCAGACGAGACTACTTAATTCTCCCCTTTATCTTTCTTCTGGTGGTTGGTTAGGTTATGAAGACCTCGATTTCCGAGGGGAAATACGGAATACACTGGATAGCGTGGATGTAACTAGATGATTCGGACTTTGCAGATGACGTAGTTCTTCTATTCAATACGTAGCAACAAATGAAGGTGAAGATAGCCAGTGTAGCAGCAGCCTGTTTGCAACTAATTCGTGATGTAAGCTGCAAATAATTAGACGATTTGATTTTTTTAAATTTTATGTTTTAAACTGAGTACAAACACATTTTGTTGGGGCTGTGTTCTCTGCGCTTGATAGTATAATCGTGAAGCATATAAAGTAATGCCTACGAAATACATCAAATGCAACAATTCACCTTTAGTCAGTGTATGATAAACAAATAAATTTACTAAAATATTTATATTTTAGACACACACATGCACAATTGATTCAAGCAACTCTCGTCAAATTCCATGTTGTGATAAACATTTGAAAATACTGTCTATTAAAGTAAGTTTCTCTTTTAAGAATAAATTGAGTCAGTCTACAATAGAATAAAATCAATGAATAAAGAAGTAATTCACAGTTAAATAAATGTACATGGCACATTAATTCATGTTAAAAAATGAAGCACAAATGGAAGTATTACTGAATAGATCACATTCTAAACATTCCCATAGAGTATTATATGAATGTAATTAGTAGTTTGCATAGTCTAAGTCATGGACTGATTTTAGTTAGGCAACTGATAGAAACCAGAGAAGCATTGAACAGCTATTCCATCTTAGTAAACGACTCCTACTCAATGTGCACTCATGAATAAATGAGATCAGTCCTAAGTGTAAAGTTGAAAAATCTTTACAATCCAACATCATCTCAACCTCAGACTAATACCGTTTATTTTGCATAATTCACTCGTTTTTGTCTCGATTTGTAACTATTATATTGTGTTTCGATATATTGACGAGAAAGTCTGCATATAGTTTGCTTGGTATATTGTAGATAATGGTTTTAACAATGTCAATTGAACAGAGAACACATACTATTAACCTGTTCTTCTCAGTAGACTGTAAACTGATAGTTCATCACCGTCAAATCAATAGAACATTAGTGGTTTTTATGTTTGAATTTGTTTCTTGCCTAATATATTCCATAATATTGAACTCGGATCGCTTTCCCATCAGCTGAAGCAATATGGCTACCCTGTTCAATGGGACCAGTCTAGTGTGATGCTGTTATCGTATCTCGATTTCTTGTTATTTCTTTCTGTAACACCAACTTGTGTGTTTATGTTTTTGAAATTTCGTTGTCTGATTGTTTGTGATTCATGTGTACATGTATGGAAAACTTGAGAACCAAAATGTTACCAGGTGTTGAAATATATCTGTATAGCAAGACATTTAATCTGTTCTGTGTATCCTATGTTTATTTATTCATCAGCATTGGTTATAATTACCTGTCGGCTTTGCGGTGTTATCTCATTTCTCGCTTCAACGTAACTTGTAAAACGTTTTTAAATTATGTTCTATGCACATAACCATCACATGTAGACTTAAATGAGTTTCATCCGCCTTACTCGAGCCCACATAGTTTTCGCCACTTCTCGTTTGTCTTACTGTGTTTATTCATCACATACCGAAATCAAGTAAACCTACGAATGAGTATGGTAGTTTTACTAATATCATAACCAATTTGGAAATTGTATGATGGTGGTTAATTATTTCTGTAACAGGAGAGACAATGCGACAAATTAATGTATTTCCCAATTATTACTACTAATATGAATTCAATACATTGTCAAAATATAAATGTTGAGACTTATCTGTTTATCTGTTTTGTTTTTTACTGTGTTTTATTGTTTTCCGCTATGGGTGTCAATGGGTAGGTGGTTGAATGTTGTGAGTGGGAACATTTCTTAATGTGACAAAAACAAATGTCTGAGATTAACTGATAACAACGTGACTGGTTGGATTTTCAGTTGCGCCGTTTACTTGCTTTTTATCTGGTTGATGGAGTAAAACGAAATTTAGTATGTTTGCTTAATTGTTCATTGTAATCAGTGGTCAGTCGGCTAATTGGTTTATTTAGTTGTTTAATGTATTTGTTTGTTTTAATAAAAACGGTATTTTAAAAAGTGTGAAAATCCACTACTGTTTTATTTCGAAACAAAAATTATTTATTGAGAGAATGTATGTTCATTAATTAATTACTCAGCAGTAATAAATGCAATTTTGTTTGATCTATATTCTTGTCAGTAAACTGTCGAATATGTTGCAGTATGTTCACTAGCCTGAACTCCCTCAAATTTCAGATTCATCTTGTTTACTAATGTAAACTAGCACAGAACATGAGTGTTATGCTTTCTGTCATCCATCATCAACCATAAAACATGTGTTATATGCAAAATAGACTAGAACGAACTTTGCACGGATTAACAAATGTTTTAGCTTCAAATGTATATCTATTTTTGCAGTTTTACATCGAAGACGACCACTATAAATCAGGAAGCAACGACTAGATCTTTCATTCTCCAAAGTAGTACGCATCCATGATCTCATACAAGAACCAATCCGTGATATTTAAGCCTCACTGTCAGTAGTTAATCTTCAAACCTCTGAGTTGGCATTCAGTAGTTTACATTTTCAAGTCCAATCTACTAGTGATTTTGAGCAATCATCTTTGGCAGAAATCTCTGAATCTATGGAATTTTTCTGGTCGATGTTTGTCACCAGTTCGTACTTGCAACTTCAGGAGGACTTATTCTTTCTAAACTGTCATCACAAAGTTTTACATTCTAAGACATTATGACTCAGCTAGTTGAGCTTCAACCGACTCCCTGTACAGTTGAAATATTTAAAATGACTGATCACTGGATAGTAATCAATTTTGTGGTTTTCTAGTGATAGCATCAAGCTTTGTGAATAAAGAAACTATTCCTTTTTATAAATAACCGTCTGACCTTTAGTTGCTTGTGATGAAATTCAAGAAAAAAATGCGATTTGAATTCAAGATTTCTACTAAGGGTCCTCGATAATTCCTCGGAAAATTTTTCAGAAACTAGGAAAATGGAGTATACTCTTTGACTAATCAACGTCCTTAGGAAACTTGCAAGAAAACTCTAGAAGACAACTGACTATATTCACTTAGTTCTAACTGGATAATTACCGAATTTATTCCTAATTTTATCATACTTTCCAAAAACTTTTAGAATGTCATCTTATGAATACCCTTAGTTTCTGCAATAACAACTACTCTTTACAATAAGGCTCACTGTACAATTCCTGACTTTAGTTTTCTGTTTAAAGTTCAAAAGAAAAAGATTTCACTAAAATAGGATTCATTTAAGAAACCGAGTTTCTAGTCACTTAAATAGATGAAACATACGTTAATGTTTGTTGTTTTTTTCAGCAATAAAACTGTTCATTTTATTTTCTTTGTTGCCTTGTAATAGTTGATATGAATCGCACAGATTGATTAGAATAGTGTCTAATGAAAAACTTAAACACAAAAAGCATATATTTACTAAAACGTTTTTCAGAATAAGAAACCTTTTGAAGATTTCATTCATGAAAATGTTTTATTTTCCTAAACTCTTTAATCAAACTACAGATTTATCATGAATCTACTGTTTTATTCATATCTATTCACTTTGATTTACTATAGTAAATGAATTATAAAATGTGAAAGACAACTGCTAATATTGATCTAAAGTAATGAGGAACTAAAGTAAATGAACGGAAAAATATATCAATCTTTAAATTTATCAGTTACATAGACAATTATTAGAATGAATCTAATATAACAGTACTGTTGTGATTCACATAGGATATACTATAAGAATCTTGTTTTTTTCTTTCAGTTTCATACACTAAATATACAATTTTATGTATTAAACCACGAGACCTGAATCCACAATTATCATATTCATAGTTACACTATTACCTTTAATTTTTATTACCTTTCAGTGTCTAGGTTTTTACTTCAATATGAAAGAGTTGTTGGTTTTGTAAACATTGTATAACTGTCAACAATTTCCGTCAATAACAAAACCACTATAAAAATTTGGATACGAGCTTTTCGGATGTTTATGTTTCATGAATACATTTCGGTAGACAGATGAAGTGATAAGAAATAGAAAAGGTAGATTTCCCTACCTAAAATACTACCCATTACAAGCGGTAATATAACTCAAAGTAGATAATGCATAGTAAGATAATTAGACAGGCATTAGATAAAATAATGAGTGAAACACAAAACGTACTCATGAGAATTATAGAATTTCAAGAACTAAGTATAAGAGGTATATAGACTGAAGGTTACAACTGCCTATGAAGAAAATGAAATGATTAAGATGGTAAAACGACACAATATTTACATTCTGTCTGAGTTAAATTCTGTCTCAAAGTAAGGATCAATCACATCGAAGCCACCATTTCTCTAGTGAGATATCTTCGAGATATTTCCTATACTCCGTATATCATTTGTTCTGATAACCGTTATTAGATCAATTACACAAAGGTCTATAGATTTCAGAAGACAATATGAAGTGAAAAACACAGTTTACTTCTGTACAGCACAGATCGATCTATCAAGGGAACGGTGCGAATATGAATACAAATGAGTAAATGAATAGGAACTGAAATGCACACATATATGAGCATGAGGTTGAGTCATCGTGAGTTTTAAGTAATCAACATTTAAGCTGGTAACAGGTGTATGTGTGAGCGGTAACAATATGATCAATCATAAATTATCATGCAATCTTAAAATGATCTTCCAGACACCGTCGCATTTATTGTGGAACATATTAGTTATCAATCACCTAACTCAGGTAAACTTAACTAGAAAAATGATTTTGACTTGTGTATAGACAGAGTTCAACTTTGTGTTTCACTAAATGCATCAAAAGTTATATAAAACAAAGAATTAAGACGTTGTCGTTCTCTAGTAAATTGATATTCCATCTGTACTGCTGCTTTTTATAAAACATTTTCACAAAACCAACATTTTTAACATAATAACATAATCAGTATACTTTTGTTTATAATACAAAACTAATCATTACATTTTAGTGAATCACTTTCTATGAAATTTAAACGGATCCATTTATAAACTAAACGTAGAAAATATATGGTAAAATAAACAGTTACTATCGATCCATAAGTGATTTTTATTTATCCATAGTATGTTACTACACTTTTTTCAATGGTCATTCAAACTGATTTTATTTGGCTTAACGTCTTTCTTTCCTTTAGCCACAGTTTTAAAAAAGAAATTGATTCACTAACTGTATTTTACCTTCTCGATAAATTTCTGGCAAATGAGAAAATTACAAATGAAGATGAAGAAAAGCTCTGTTTTATTTATATAACTTGAAATAAACAAATGAATGTTAATGAGAATAGATAGATTATAGCTAACAGTGAATTGCTGAAAGAAAGTTCATTACTAGTGATAATTTGACATCTGGATATACCTGTACCCCACTATTACTGTTCACATTGAGACTC